ACGTAAATTTTCGTAAGAAATTTACGAAACTTACACAAGCTTATGCATATTTACAAATTTATGTAAGTTTTCGCAGGGTTACGCCTATCCCTGTAATAAAGTCGATCCGTTTTTTATATTCCGTCTTTTTTCCGTAAAAGGCCCAATTAATAGCCTTATATCACGGAATTTATCAAATTATTTACATTTTCCGTGAATGGATCCGTGAAAGGCTCATAATTACGGAGTTTTTACAGAAATAATGGATAAAATTTTTTATAGGGTATAAAAACTTCCTGATGAATAAGTAAAAAATTGTGCACACCAAAAATTAAGGTACAACATGTGTAACATCACGGCGGATTTATGAAATACCCTAAATTTGTCCGTCATGTCAAATTAAATAAATATTTGACAGTCTTTTAGTCACCAAATTTCCCAAATTTATTAGTGAACAGTCAAAAATGAGCCCTAAAAAATTTTTTTGTACCCCAAATCTTGCGTCTAACCAATTTTCCGTTACCTACCCAATTTTTCCAGTGTTAAAGGTGCGTCATATTTGACATTTTTTAGGAAAAAAGCTTAATGTTTCTATAAGTCAATTTTAATTCCCGAGGGCGCAGCAGGGTTTTTGCTAAATTTCATAAATCCGCCGCAATGATTACATTTAAACATTAAGAAATTGATAAATTAACAATTACTTATATAAATGGTAGAATGTTAAAGTTGTATTTAAAGATCTTCAAATTATAAACCCTTATCGGTTACGGTACATTTTACCGAAATCCATTTTCCCGAAACCCACTTCTCCGGAGCCATTTCGCCGAAGGGATGCTTCTCCGAAAGGACGTTTCACTGAAGTACATTCCATTGAACCTATTTACCAAATAATTGCATTTCACCGAATAATCCATTTCACCGAATCGTCCATTTCACCGAATAATCCATTTCACCGAATTCAATTTCGCTGAATGGATATTTTGCAGCAATTAATATTTTTATGGAAATAAAAAATAAATTATTTTTAGCTCCCTGTATGATGCTTAAATCTCGCATTCTGTAACGAAAATTTGTAAAAAAGAAATTCTTATTATACAAAATATTTTAAAAAATGTACAGTATGTGTATTTTTTGCCTGCTCTACAAGTTTACTTAAAGCATCAAAGATGGGTTTGAATGTCATTTTTGACTTAATTTGATAAAACTTTCAAGTTTTTTGTTAATCACGTGTCGCATTTAATTCTGGCCAGAAGTAAATGAGCGGCATAAAAAATTTCCTTTCCTGGACTAAAGGTGAGATTTAAGCATCACACTAGACGATAGATTTACCCAATAATTTTTCGGCGAATTGTCCGTTCGGCGAAATATCCATTCGGTGAATTGGCTTCAGCGAAATGGAATTTAGTGATGGGTTTCGGTAAAATGGTATTTTGGCGAAACATCCACTCGATGAAAACATTCCTTCGGCGAAGTGGCTTCGGCGAAGTGGATTTCGGCGAAAAGTCTTGATACCCATTTTATCACCTTTTATCACATATGCATTGATATCGAAATTTATCACCATGGAACGTCTAAGATTTCATATTGATCAAACGCGTGAAATTTTCGCAATTAAGTATTGCTTCTTTTATAAATCTGAATAAATATTTTATGACAAATATTTTAATTTAATGATGTTTTAGTATAATTCTCATTCATCATCTATAAATACTTGCAATCTTATATTAACCGGACAAATTAAGAAATTTTAAAATATTCTGAATCCCGTTGACTTATAACAAATGAACTTACTAGTTCTAATATTAAAAAATAAATGAAGTAATTAATTAAAAATGATAGCACTGAAAGTCACTGTACAAAATTTGATAGATAGATATATATATATAGCTTCAAAATTTCGTATATTTAAGATTTTTGTTAACTGTGTTGAAACGCTGAAACGCGCTTCATAAAAGAACTGTAAAATGTATATCATGTAAATCATATAAATCATATGATACTCGCTAATAACGAACGATTTCGTAACAACCGATATAGCGCGTTACGAATCCACCACGAAATCTCGAAACCAAAATCCCAATGACATAATCTTAACATATATGATCCCGAAAATTCAAAATCCTGGTAATCTAATCCCAAAATTTTAATAATTCCCGAAATTCATTTTCCCAACAATTCATTATCCCGAAATTATAATCACTTACGATATCTTATTCAGATTGTTTAGATGGCGGGTTCTTCGAAATTCGAAATTCTGAGACGCGGGAGTTCGGTGACCCATTCATCCTAAATTTTATCTAACAAATCGTTGACTAACCATTTCGGTTTTTATTCTTTTTTTGGGTGACAAATTCTTCGGATCTTTTGACGTATGGGGTCATTTTTACCGAACCATGTATGATTATGATATCATATATTCACACAAAGATTATGTACAAATAATCCTATTGGTATTATTACACTTGCAACACTTCGTATTGTAATCTTAATTTATGGGTTTGTAAGCTATGTTTAACCTCCGAATGTCGTGATTATTAATTACGGCAAGAAACCTTAATTAGGAACCATTCAAAAATCTCTATCCGATGATCAGAATACGTTAACTATACTCATAATCCTGAAGATATGTTTTCCCGATTCCTAAATTTCGTTATCCCGACATTTATTACCCCGACACTTATTATCCTCTTACAATTTTATTACAATGACATTTTCAAAAAACATAAATAAAACTTATATCACCTATGTGATAAGAAATTGCATTTAATTTTATGTAAAGAAAGATTTTTTTTTAAAAAAAAATTTTCTGTGATGGGGATAACAAGTGTCGGGGTTTTGGGATGTTGCGGGCGAAACTTTTTTTGTAATTGTCGAAACATTTCGCCTTTTGAGGTCAAATTCCGACAAACTTCCCAAACTTCCGCAATCTCCGAAACTTTAAACAATAAATTACTTAAGATCCGAAACTTGCCCAAACCTAATTTTATTAAAAAAAATATAATCTAAACTCGATATACCGATCATGACATATACCCAATGAATTTCCTTTGTCCCGTTTCACAACTAATAAAAAAAAATCCGATATTATTTATTATAACATACAGTATATCGATATATATACGATATTTTAGATACAATGATATTTAATTTTGCCCAGTACCGTAAATTTGGCTGAGTTAACCATCATGAATTATTGTTTGGCCAAAAAGTTAATCATAATGCTGGATTATGGCCCGCATTATAGTTTGCTAATGAATTACATGCATCGATACCTCAATAACTTCATCCAAATTTCAAATTTCGTCAAGTTTTGGAGGTTTCGTCCTATAAAAAATTTTATCCGTTATTTCAGAAAAAACTCCGTAAAAATGAGCCTTTCACGGATCCATCCACAGAAAATGCAAATAAATCGATAAATTCCGTGATATAAGGTTATTAATTCCAGAAATATGAGCCTTTTACGGAAAAAGATGGAATATAAAAAACGGATCGACTTTTTTTACAGGGTCTCCTGCCGAAACCAATTACTAATCAATTAATAGAGTCATAAATTTAATGTCGTGATGGTGGCCGTCGAGATAATGAATTTCTAGATTATTAAAATTGAATTTTCGGGATTTTCGGGATAGTGAACTTTCAGGATTACGCATGTCGAGATTGTATCTCATCGGGAATTTGACTACCCTATAAAAAAAATCATTTCGTTTTTTATATTACATCTTTTTTCCGTAAAAGGCTCATATTTCCGGAATTAATGACCTTATATCACGGAATTTGTCAAATTATTTATATTTTTTGTGAATGGATCCATGAAAGACTCATTTGCGGAGTTTTTACAGAAATAACGGATAAAATTTTTTATAGGGCTTTTGGGATCCCATTATTTTATAGATGGTCAACCTGACATCAAATCAGTTTCTGATTTTAGCAAAATGGTTAGCCCTCAAGTGGCATCTTTGAAGAATTAAAGGAATGGTTCTATATGTAAAAATTGGTGAGAATCAATCTAGTATTTTACCATTTATTTTCGATTTTTTTTTCAAATCCCTACGACGGGCCCAAAATTAATATTGATTCCGAAATAATTACAGTTCGACATGTTGAATTAATCTCAAAATGGATCGATAAATTAGAAAATACAGATGAGAGGAAAGCCAATCAAAAATAATTCATTGTTCATAATTTACTTGCAAAAAGAAGTACAATTTAATTTAAAAATAGCTTATAAAACTTTATTAAGATCATACATTTAGTCCATACATTCCTTAATACATTGATATAATGTAAATAAAAATAAATAAAAAGATAAATAAAAAAATATTAGCTTAAGTTATAGGGCAATAAAGTTTTAGTTTTTACGATGTTTACTAAACGATTTTTCTTAAATAATTGACATAATTGGCCTAATTATCACCATTTACTGTATCAGCGTATGTTTCTTTAATATGATATCCTTATGTTGAAGTTCATTAAGTTCTTATTGGTAAAATTAATAAATTAAATAATATTGCAATTTAAAAACATATATAAATATTTCCATATTTTTAAAACTAATATACTGCAGTAGCTAATTGGAATTGTTGTAATCAATAAAAGAAATAATTTGAAAAACTCAGAATTTCAAATAAGTCAGACATTAATAATTACAATAAAAGATTATGTGAAATTCCACGAAGAAAATCCATTAATGAATGATTTGATCGATCGATAACCATTGCTCTAATTCTGTTCTCTTTATCAATTATCTTTTGTTTTAGTTTTGGACGCGGTTCACCACGAAGAATACTTCCAATTTGCAATTCTGATTGTTGCTGTTCCTTTTGAACCTCCTTAATAATAGTATGAACTCCTGCATGTGTTTGACTAATCAATCTTCCCCAACGATTAAACCAATCTTCGACGTAATGTTGTTTTCTTAGAATATCTAATTCCACTGAATCATGTACTGACCATAATTGTGGTGGAAAAGGGGGTGGGATGCGAGTTACAATTTCATTTTGAAATTGTTGTTGCATTATTCCATGTATATAATTTTCCTCAAACCATTGTACAACATCATTTGTTTCTGGCGGCATTCTTGATTTTAGAGTATCAAATGCCATGGTAATTTCATTTGATGGCAAGAATGCTAAGGCAAATAAGTGGCGTAACATAAGACTCATATTCTCATTAGTACCATATTGAACTGCTAAACCATAATCTTGTATTTTTCTCCAGCCATCTTGTCCTAAGTGAAAAAAGCAGCCTTTATTAATAACACCAGGAAATACTTCACGTAATGCATCAATTGCTGCCTTTTCAAAATGGGTAATGATTTTTGATGGTTTTAATTGAATATCATTTTGTTCAGCAAATTCAATCAAATCTTGAAATAATGATTGGTAAAGCTCTTTGGATTTACCAGTCATCAATCCATATACCAATGGAAGAAATCTATAATTATCTTCTGCACCAATAGGAGCGTGGATAGTATATAATTGGCAAAAGGTTGTTGAAGTTGTTTTAAATAAACCATCCATAATCCAAAATGATGATTGGGATAAAAGCTGAATATTAGCTTTTGTAGTAAATAAAACAATTCGCTCATCTCCAATTCTAGAGTCTTTAACTAAAAATAATTCTCCACTTAGAGTGTAACGGAGTGAATCAGGAATATTGGCTTCATCAAGATTTAGCGGATCTGGTGGCATATTTGCTCTTCTAACACGTTTAATTTTCATACGAAGAGCATTTTGTGATGGTATATAAGGGTAAATTTCTTGCGAAGTATTAGTAATGTTGTTGTGAATAATTTGCGCGGGTTGATCAGTACTTTCTTGAGCTTGAAGTTTTATTTGAGCGACAACTTTTGCAACTTCAGCATTACTAGCTTGAGGTGCATGATTATGATCATTAAACTTTCGAAGGTAATGTGATCCATTAATTAACGTTGTTGTTGCTCGTCCTTTGCAATTTTCGGATTTTCTTTTCTCACAGCACCAATAATAAATATCTTCTCGATTCCGTTCTTTTACCATTAAATAACCACGGACATTAATCTTGTCATTCCCTTTTTGAGATGGTACGACTTCGCAAATTTCATCCATTTTATAGGTTATTTGAAAACATAAAATAATCAAAGGTGATAAAGTAATTTATGTAAAAAAAATCTTTTGATTCTTGTTATAAAGATTTTGTTAAAAAATCTTTAACGAAAGCTCAATAAGATATGTATATATATTTATTAAACTTTTGTTAAAATTTCTTTTATGCTTTTAGTTTTCAACGTTCTATAAAATAGTTTGATAAATAGTTTTTTTTGTCAATATATATATTTTTTTCGTTAAGGTTTAGTAATTCAAAATAAGGATTTTGTGCGCGCCAAGTTAGAGTTGATCGTGCGATATTCCAAACAGTTACACCTCTATTACACACACAAGGAATGTATAAACACAGAGCCCGATTTGATTTTGGGATAGTGACATTTCAGGATGTATATCGTGGAATTGAATTCCACCGAATAGTACTTTGATTTGGTGAAACGCTTAATTTCTCATATTATCTTTATTCATGCCAATAATATCGGATAATTTGATTATGTACAGATCGGCTAAACTCGTGGACCGACAGAAATGATCGACCCGTGGCTCATGTATTGGACCGAATCTATACGATTCCTCATTTGGAAAACGGATAAAATATGGTGCGTTTGATAATATTATATTTGCTTCATAAGTTAATAACTGTAATACATATAAGCAAGAATATATCCTAATCCTTGATTCTTCACAAATACAATAAAGATAAAAAACCGCTTCAAATGACCTGATTATCCACACTAATACCTTCCTTATTTCATTCATACTTAAAACGCAATTACCTTATATGCTTACATTTAATTGTAAATAAGGAAGATTCTGCGAAAACATTCTTTTTTTGTCTTTTTTTGTTAATTCAATAGAAAATGAATTAGTTAAATTGACTCGGAAATTATGGCATTGCATTTGGAGACAAAATTATTCTGCATACTTAGTATTATTACTATGTAGCACTAATATAAATGATCAACTTCCCATAATTCCATGGGAAATTCGGCTCGAAAGCTGGGTCCGGATGATCGACATCCATGAATTTTGAATAAGCCATCCGGATGATCAACATCCTAATTAGTTACACTTATGAAAAAATAATTATCCGGATGTTCAGTTTAGTCAAATTCTGGACATTCCGTGTCTCCAAATCGGGCTCGTTTTGTCCAATTTTTTTTTTTTGTCCGGAATTTGAGTAATGAAAAATTGAGAAGGAAAACTATATATTTTTTAGACATTTTCTGGATATGTATTATCTAGGAAAAAATTCAAATTTCCCTCTTTATACAAAATTATTGATAATGTTAGCCGAATTTATAAATTTCATAATTTAAATTATCGAAGTCCAAATTTAGAAGCAGAACGGTGTCGTACTAAGTGTCATACATCACAACTTTTCACATGTTGATTATCTTCGATCATAGGAAATTCTAATTCAATTAGCATTTCTTTAAGTTTGTACTTAAAATTTTATCGTAGACTTTTTTTAAAAAGAGAAAAAAATAGCATAAATATGACAATCATGTCATGATAGATGACTGAAACATAATATGCATAAAATATCCGTATTATTGCGAAATATATTCCGGACGATAACTTCCATACTAATATATTATAAATTTAAAAAATTTAAAAATTTAAATTTATTTAAAACGTTTATTAGGAAATTAAATTGATCCACATGTTACATATTCAATATATTAAAGAGGGGGTAAAGAGATCGGCTTGCACCGGCAAGTCAAATGTCCGACAACTTTCTGTAAAAAAAAGTATTACTTAAATAAATTGATGCAATTATTTTATAAAAACGTGCTTATCTAATATATTGACTGATGGAATAAATAAACTATAAATAAACTATTATTAGATATCCTTTTGTTCTTATTTCTATTTTTATTTTAATTTTTATTTCCATTTTTATTTTTATTTTCAATAATTGAATTATAAAATTAATATGTATCTTATTATTATTCAGTGAATTTACAGTTTCAAATCACTTTGGAAAGTAAATATTTTCTTTGCATTGTAATAATTCAGGATTATTAAAGTAATTTACATAGCCTTATGATAGTGATTGCCGACATTTTATTTTACTTGCGTAAATATTAATAAATTAAATATAATAATAGACGAAATTAGGACGAATTGCGTGAAAAAGATTGAAATACTTGGAATTAAAATCTTCAAACTCTTAAGAAATCGCATTTCGGAAAACATTTCTCTTATCAAATATAGTATAGCACGATCTTCAGGATTATAGGGTTATTTATTACGACTACAGCAGCCTAGTGAATACGAATAAATTATTCATACTCGCTAATACGTGATTACTGCGCCATTGCCATATAATAATCCGCAGCAACACGTGATTGTGAGACTTGCCTTATAGTTGTGCGTACGACTCGTAGCTAAAAACTACCGGATACATTACAGCTGATTTCAAAAAGGTCTGGATACTTAACAAATTTTAAAGAACTCGTAAATATTCGGTAAAGCTTGATATAAAATAAAAATTATACGTTAATTTTGGAGTACTATTCCGAGAATGGTGGTATAATTTTATCTTATTTTTAGCTTTACCGAATATTTCCGAGTTTGTCCTGTACATTATGAAATCAGCTGTAAATCCAAACAATTACAAAAAAATGCGATTTTTTATAGAAAACATAGAGCTCGGGAACGATAATTACTTGGTTAATTAACTGGTTAAAAACGATACTCATCGGTCAATCAACTAGATTAATTAGGTTATACTAATTCGCCTCTAGTTCCATTGATTCTGACTAGTGAACCGGGTCCAATTGATCAACATCTGGAATGTTTTGATTTTGTAATCATTTGTAATCATCCGGACCCATGTCATTTACACATCGGATCCAATGGGAACCTGAGGCGAAAATTAGTATAACCTATTGGGCCAGAATAATTATCCGGTTAAAAATGCGTTAATTATGGTAAAATTGTAATGCCGGCCGGAATTAAGGTTTTGGACGTTACCGTATATAATTAAGAAAAGGGAAATGAATTCAGCGATCTTCAAACAAAAATTAACTTTCGATTTATATTTTATTATTTTATTATTTTATATAAATTAACTTTGATATAATTGATACTTCTGTTATCTGCTGTTAAGGAATGTATAAGCGCAAATTTTGCATAAAATAAACATATATTTCATATGAATAAATTGAGAAACGTATTTAAAGTTTTTTGCATCGGTTTCTAGCTCTAAAATAATTGCAAGCTTTTTTTCATTATGAGATTATTTGAAATCGCTATAATTCATTAAAATGTAGATATTTCTAAATTAAATACTGTAGTTGATCTTAAAAATTTTCCGCTAATCGTAATTACCGTCACGCAGAAATAGCATTAGATTATGTAACAGAACCCTGTCGTACACTTTCAAAATAGATTTGTCGCACTGTGATATAAATTTCCTTTTAAGATGATCGCGTGTAGCTACTTTTTGTCGTACATTAAATAGTCTACAAGAAAAAAGGAAAAAAGATCCGTCGTACGCTTATAACAAAGATTAATTGTACGATACACTTTCAGCCAAGTTGAAAATTATTATATAAAAATTGGATTAAAATTTTTCCAATAAAAAAATCTGACTCCACTGTATTTTTTCACTTACAAAAGCTGGTAAGCATTGAGGAAAATTTTAGTTATCTACATCATACATGAATCCTATGAATGCTGATACAATTAATATATAGCGATGAATTTCCCTTTCCCCGTTTCACAACTAATAAAAAAATATACCGATATTATATATGATTTCACGATATAAAATAATTCCTTTGCCCTTTTATAGTAATACATATACCAATATTTTGGTTACACTGGGTTACACTGATCTTAATTTACGATCATATGCATATGAGTTTTGAAATTATTATTGGTTGATCAAAAGTTAATCATAATGCTGGAAAGAGCTAGATTTTGCCCGCATTATAATTTGCTACCGAATTACATGTACCGATATTTTGATATACCGATAATTTTTTCCTAAAAAAGCTGTATCAGTATATACAATGTGTATAGAAGTTTGACTTGTACATTTTACAATTTTGTACAAACATACAGTATTTCTGCTGATGTTGTACACTTGAGCAAAATTTTGCTGGACACTTTGGCAATTTCTCAAACAGAGTTCATTATGTAAAAAATTTTCATATTCAGGGGCCCTGTTTAAGTTTAACTCAGAAAATATTGCAACCCGTCGATTGAGGCAGCAATATGATCTTTCTTTTCTTTTCTCT